TAGGCATAAACATATAGGCAAACTGCTCAGTAAGTAAAACTTGCTTTGAGCACTTGTCTTGTAGTTGAACAAAGGTAAGAGTCGCATCAGGTGCTCTTGGATGAGCCTTAGGACCTCAATACCAGCCGAAGGATTGGAAAGCCTGGAAAGACTGGCGTATTTTCTTAAAACTCTCAAAGTTACGAAATTTCAGTTAACTTTGATTTCGTGGTCGGAAGCACCTATTTGGTGTTGGAAATTTTTCAAAGATAAGAGACGACAATAAGTGATGGAGAGCGAGTTCACTGAATTCTTTTGCAAATGTTTACTGTGAATTTGGAATCGTAAGGGCAAGTAGTGTGTACACATATCTTCAATTTACCTGTTGATACAAGGAGTTGGCTGTGTCGTCTCAATGAAAAGGTTGTTTCCTATTAAAACCGACTTCCCCAGCTAGAAAAACCATCGTGCTCCCATGACAAATCCCCTGACAGAGAGAACTGCTGAGTGTGGTTTTCTCGTCAAATCTGGGTTTGAATATATTTACTTTTTAATCAGTTTTGCATATTTGCATATTTTCCCACGCTGGGACATTTTCCTCGTATTTAGGCTTTCCATCAACTCCAAACGTTTGTGCACTCCGTAGAGTTTTTAGGTCAACACAAAATGTCGGCATCATTAGTTGGCGTGTGAAAAATAGACAACTTGTTCCGTATGGTTACGCGTTTCTCACAAGGCGAAAAGACGGTAGATTTGATATGCTTGTATTGGACTAATCGTTCTCAGTGCCCTAATTCGCATATGCCACAAACGACCGAAACCACCTCGGGTTACTAGAGACTTAGCAGATGATGTGGCATAATGCAATAAGTTGTGTCACCACGTCGATGTGTAGACGCTGCAGTGCTGGAGTGCTTGCGAAAACAAAATTCACTAGCACTTCTTGTTGGTACCCGCGAGGTTAACGAGGCTAACGCTCAGTAATGATGTGAACCCCGACTGAGACCCAGTGAACCCAATGCGTCAGTTGGTTGATGGACTAACAGGATCCATATTCACACACTGTTCTAATCAGTGAACAGAATGAGCAGTTCTGCCATTTTAACATATTTCTGGTCGTGTTATGGCAGTTACTAAATACAACAGTGTCGTGTTTTTGCACTGAAGCTCTTGTTGCTAACTCGCATGCTAACAGTTCAGTGTATCGCTAAAAAAGTTCTGTAATGTTCTTCGTGTATAAGCGTTCCTAACCTAGAAGTGAACCAATGTGAGATAGAATTGTAATTTTTTTGGTTTTGTTCTTAGATGGCGTGTCGAAACAAGGAGTTCACTGAACGGATCTGAATGAAACCAGAAAACAAAAAAGACAATTCGATTCCTGAGCTTTAAAAAAGCTTAAAAACGACAGAAAACTTCTTGCGTGGTTCATTTTATCGATCGAATCGCATCACAAGTTCGACAGTGTCGCACACCAGATGGGCTAAAGTACGAAAATTTGTCCACGCTGCTTCCAGATATAAAGTCCACCATTTTATCCTGACCTATTTATTTGTCAACTTGTTGAGAGACAATGGGAAAAAAATTAAATTCGACCTTATCACGTCCTACCACAACTTTCAAGTTGTGGTAGGTTGCGGTTGTGGTTGAGGTGCGGGTGACGCAAGGGACAACTCGTAAGCTTCCAGTACCATCTTGCTGTCCAAGGGTGGTGCTAAGTATGAATCAGCAATCCACGGCGACAGACAGATTAGGAGACTCTAACCCAGTCAGCCGGTCACTTGTAATAAAAACCGTATCTGTCCAACGTGGCGCCGTGGTGAATTGTATGTGGTTGATGTGTAAACAGAGAAACTGATCACCGACTATGGAGCAAAAGGAAGTTAAACACTGCACCATCCAGGCTGATACACGTGCTGTTATTAGAATCGGTCTCTGTTTGAGCCACATATCGACTTTTACTTAACAGACGGCGTGGAGTCTCTCAGTTGACCCGTAATCGAATGGCAACCTCCACTTCGGCTTGGGTAACTAGTCTGTACCTTGTCCCAAGAGAAATATACATGGCTCGCTTCGAACGCACTCTTCCGTTGAGATTACCGGCTCATCTGCTGACGAATCTTTATTCTAAACAAGCTGCCTCAGTTGCTTACTGACTTCGTCATCCATTCCCTTGAGGTTCATAAAAAATCGGCCGAATCTTTTCTGGTGAACAACGCAATTGTTCACTTTGCAGTATACAATAGTATCCACGAATAGTTACACATATCTCAGGACTGCAACTCCTTCCTTTAAGTTGTTGAGTCGTTCATTTCAGTTTCATTGACAGAAGACTAGGGCCGATGAATGCCCAGTGCGTTAATACCAAGAACCAACGATGGCACAACAAGGATCTATAAGTACTCTGTTTCATCTTGCTGCGTATTTCACTCTGTGACTTTCGGGAAATTTCTTTGCGGTAGCTGATTATTTTGCAGATTCTGGATGAAAAAATAAACCTGTCATATTAGGCTAGGTTCTAATAGGTAATCGATTGGAGGTGCTGATTTTGTAGAACGCAATCAAGAAACCGTGAGTTTAACGAAATGCTCTCATTTGCACACAAATTTAGTTTTACGAGAGACTCACTTGGAACCCAACTGAATCTCTCGTTTGTGATGTTTTTACAGGCAACTGAATGCGCTGCACCAGGCCGCTTCATGTAGCAGTCGCTACGATATTCGAGATTACGTGTATATTTGCAATGCACTACTCATAAGGTTTCTGAAAATCCGTCGACAGACAACGACCGGTTTCACCATTCTTGGGCCTCATCAAGTAGGTGCAGTCCCCGGGTTTCCATCAAACTTATGTTCTACTTGAAACCAAATTGCACAAAATTGGCGAAATACACCCATTTGCCAACTACTTTGTTTTTGCGTGAGACTCACCTGGAACCCAGCTGAGTCTCTCGTTTGTGATGTTTCCAGATGGAAACGCGGGGGCTTCGCCTATCTTATGAGCCCCAAGAAGGGCGAAACCGGTCGTGGGCTGTTGACGAAATTTCAGCCACCTTCTGAGCAGTGCATTACAGATAAACCGTGATGTATTTATCATTCCTGTTTATGTACCTAAAAAAGCAAATCTTTGACGGATAGGAGTGTATTCTAAGAGTCTTTCATGCGTGGCAGTGTTGGTCATACATTTGAGTACAAAAGTAGAAACTGATTACGCTGATCTAAAGAGCGGCGTTTGTGCTTCTCTCAAAGAATGTAGATGTCTTCCTTAACATATGCGTATTACATGGTCAACGTGGCCTCCGTCATCAGCAGAGGTGCAGCATTATCAGTTATATTCTTTGAACATCCTGTATCTCCGAAGATTCTGTAAAGAGCAGGCCATTTCTCAACTTATACTGACTCTAATGATTCGTTTGCTTATGTCCAGGTATGAGTAAATCACAGCGCCGATTGGTCGCTCGTGAGTAGACTACTGGCCTGGAGTTCCGCGGGATGAGCACTGCTGATGGTTCCCAAAAAAGACAAAACAGCTGTCGGCTTTTCAGCATAGATTGATCTCAATTAATAGACGAGATTTCTTCAGTTGGAGCTTATGAGCAACGTTTACCGTGACGAGAAAGCGAGTGTTCAATGGAACCAGAAGAGCACTTAAACCATCGCCCTGAGAACATTAGGTAAATTTACCATGAAATTCACAGACAGTTTTGATAGCATCCTTTCGGTTAGCAATTATTAACCCACAGAGCATCGGGGAATTTTGGAAGGGAAGTAACGAAAGTGGAAGCAACCTTCATCAAATAAGTAAAAAAAAATTACTGCAAACCCTACGAAATCTGATTATTAGCTCGCATCTGTTAGGCCCTGAAGTGCTCTGATATTAGACTGCGAGAGACACAAAGCAATGTTGAGGGCTCAGTGAAGCGGGATGCCCAATTAGGTCCCTCGAAATAGGTCACACACGTGTAGCGATACAGTTATCGGTCGTTTTCCGGGGTAGAGAAAAACAGAGAACCGTCCCCTTTGGGTATTCATCTTTAATTTACGAAGGATGGCAATGTCTTCGGTAGAAATCAAAGTCTATTTTGAACATGAAACGCAAAGCAACGTTGAAAAGTGTAACTTCTTAACCTTTTATTGTAATTTTTATTGTCTGAGATTAGAACTTTTCTATGTATGTTGCAAGTCAGAACACCACCAATTTCGGTTTAAGTATGTGTGTTTAGATTTATGCATTTTTTTGACATCTATTAGAACATACTGACAGTTTATGTTTGTGAATAAAACGATACGTTTTATTAACTCTACCCTGTTTCTTTGGGAGACTAAATTTAGTCAGTGCAGAGAAAAATCTGTTTGGAACAGCCTCTCTGGATTGATTACACGAATCTAAGAGAAATTTCCAGTGGACACATGTCTGATTTGTAGTCTTGCGAAAATGAATTGGTATCCGTAACTCGGGTGCATTAACTGTTACCTGATCAGGTGGCTGTTGATCTGTTGGTCGAGCTTGGCAACTGATCTACTGACGTTTCGCCACCGTTCAAGGAGACATCTTCAGACCCACCCAACAGCCCACTGAAGAGGTCTCCCCGAATGTTGACGAAACGTCTGCAAATCATTTGCCAAGTTCGGCGAACAAGTCAACAGCCACGTGATGAATTACCAAATAGGTATATCCATTTGTTCGTAAACAGATTACGAACCGGCATACTCCATCCAAGTATAATACAATGACAGTAAAGTTAAACGGTCTTTCGTTTCGTGTGTAAAAAGGTCGAGGTGTGTGATACTGAACAGATCTGTTTTCACGTATCAACTAACGTGATGTCAAGGTACGCGCCTCCTATACGAATTCTCGGTGCACTCACCCACGCACATACACACGCACTTACCAACTAGAGCATGACAGACAGTGAGTCGTTTGTGCGGATGAAATGAACAACTTTCCATACGACACACTGTATCGCTTATTTTTGTGTTCACAAATACACGTGCTTTTTTTTGATCGCTAATTCGTAATACGATTGGAAATTTGCTTGAAAATCAACTGTTTATTATCTGCAAGAGATATTGTCCTGAACAAACTCATTTAAGTCGCAGAACAAGGATTGCTCTCTCGTGCATGAGAACTACCTACTGGGAATGTCGCGCTGGCAAAGACTGTCTGGATATCTTCATACAAAACCAACTGGCCGTGAGTTCCTGAGTTACTAGTCAAATTTTTGCACTAATTTGCATGCCCCACCTGAACATATCCTGGATACGATAAAACGAAATATGAATACCATTAGTGAACGCTCGCTGGTTCGAACTAAGAGTCAATGCGGATTTCTTTAAACTGAACGCTTTTTCCGTGAGTGAAACCTCTTCTGCGTTCCACTCATCCAGTACGCATTGGTTACCTAATTACAGAAACCTATGGGGCACCTGCAGATTCTGTGTCTGTCAGTTGATCTATTCGGGCTCTCCTTTGTTGAACCAAATAACAGAGTGGGCTGTAGTTTGGCCTATCACGCAAAACATGTGGCGTTTGCACAACTACTTGAAATTTTCGCATCCTAGGCTCCATATTTTCAGTACAGTTTATCGCTCCGTTCACAGTATGATTAGGTTTCTTGCTTATTTTGAGAGTAAGGCATTTCAATCATTCGGGTTCAAACCAACAAAGTTTGATTAATTTGGTCCCCTAATTTATCGAAAGCTGGTTCCTTTGGCTGTTGTTGAGAGAAAGCCTTATTTCAGCAAGATGAAAAATCCTTTCCTGACGTTGATGACCTCACTAAGGTTTTTCCGCGGTTTCCGTAGTGTTCGGGAAGGGTTCAAGTGTGCAAGTACTATTTAATGTAATGGAAACTGATTAGTTTAATAAAACAGTGAATGAAGAATTGCCCGAGCTACAGGCCTCTTTATTGTCAATTAACAGTTTTTTCGTCTTTGAATACATATTTGAGCTTTTTAAATGGTTGTCTATTTCGAAAATCAGTCCTTATTATTTTCTCGCCGCGGCTTCGCTCCTTGTTTCAGAGAATCCCGCACATTACCACTGATCCCTGACAATGTCCCTGCTACGAGTCGATCGATTTTTGTTGTTCCTTGGTCAAACAGTTCAACTACTTGATATCGATTACTCAATAAAATGACATAGACCAGACTCACGGTGTTAGCTAGATTTCTCTGAAGATGAAGTACCTAGTTTTGTGTTGAGTTCATGAGTTGATCTAGCATATACCCATCACATAATCACCTTTTTGAGACTGATTTATTCACAACCTTACTGTGACGCTGAAGACAACTGGATCGTAACCTGGTTTCCAAGATCATTAACCAGTAGCCTTCATCGCGACCCATCGATTCATAAGATCAGTTTATGTAAGCGGGTAAATGTTGTATTTCTGGTGGGAGTCAACTGTGTTTTAATTGTTATATGCATTCCCGAAAATGGTGAAACACAAAATGCCTCTTGTAAATGGGCATTTCTTACTACTAATATGTTTTTTCTGTAACATCCACAGACCCGCACTAAGGTCAAATAGTGAAAAGTACAGTAAACTATTGTTCTTTGAATACTTTCGTTTTTAAATCAGATTGACTTGAATGGTAAATTTACGACGATTTCCGTAGAACATCAGTTTGACGAAAATCGGAGACTGCGCTTACCGGATGAGCCCCAGGAAGACTAAAACTAATCGAGGGCTGCCGAAATGTTTTCAGCAAACTTGTGAGAAAGATTTGCTAGTGTAATAGGTTTATCGGTCAAGCAGAAGGGATATCAGCTACCGTGTCTCCGGCTACGGCCGCTTGAATACGGAACATTTTCGCGAAAGCACCGCTAGTCATCCTAAATGGTCTGCACAGGTGACCGTAACTCATAGAAACACTTTCGTCTGTTTACCAGAGGGCGGATAGTAAGTATGAAAGACCTAGGTGTGCCGGTGTGAATTCGCTGGAGGAACTCCTCACAAACACCAGCTGACGGGATGACGCGAACTTATGTCTCAACCGTTTTGGTGCACTTGTTTCCACAAAATAGCGGGAAGGCAAGGAAGTCCCGACGTCCGAAAATCTCAAAATAATATTATAACTTAGGGGAGATTCCTCATTTTTACCTAATGAACAAAACCACGTCATCTCAAGGGATATGAATTTGAACAATGCTCATAACTTGCGTTTTTTGGGTTGAACAGCTAAAAGTATATCCCAATTTAAATGCTTTTTTGGGGAAAGGTTGGTAGCCCAGGCACAGGTGGACATTATAAGGAAATAAAACGAGAATTGAGTTGAGTCTTTCATAACGACGTAGTAGTTTGTTTCTCAAGTAAACATGTCAGGCGTAAAAAGGCTGACTGCCTTCAGACAAAAAGTGTTGAAGTATTGATAGAAAACGAACTCATCTGACTTCCATTTGCCCGAGGAGCGTCAAAGAAAGTGAAGAGTAGCCATTATTCAAAAGAGAGCGGTGATTGTGATACGTCGCTTCTGTCGGCGATTAAGAAAACTTTCATTTAGTCCAGCATTCTGACTTTCACTCAATTTAAAGCACGCCGCTTGCAGTCGAATTTGTCTCGTGCTTATTATCGTCGTATGCGATTTGCACGAAGAGATTGCCAGATTAAAATTGAACATAAGTTCATCGTATAGCGTGATTGATAGTTTTTATTGAACTGTTGTCTAAAATCAAGACTATGCCAAGGTCGTTAGCATGTTCGTGATTGTCTTCAGGTATTGATTGTCATAAATACTGCCTGACTGGGAGTGCAAGATATACCAGTCAAATTTGCTAGAATTTCGCCGGTTGGATTCACAAACAAAGAGCAGTAGGGTCCATTAGGACCTCAGCATGTCGTCAGTGTACCCACATGAATCTGACGTGAAAACAGGAATAAGCCTTGACACGGTTAAAATACAAAAAGCGATACTAACCAACATCTTTTCTGAGGCTTAAACAGAAGCATCTCAGTGATGAAACATTTGTTTAGTATAATAGTCACCGTTGTGGTCAGACGGCCCTTCCTAACTAAGAAACGGCTGTCCAACGGGAGGATGCTCCCGCCTTCATGTTCAATGTCAAACTTGTTACCACTACTACAAATAACTAACTACTTAATCGGCGCAAGTCGCGATCATGAATGAAATGAGATATGTTCATAAAGGAAACTACTCACAAGGTTGCCGAAAACTCTTCGATAGCTCACAACCGGTTTCGCCTTTCTTGGGGCTCATCAGGTAGGCGCAGTTCCCGAGTTTTCGTCAATCTTATGTTCTAGGATGAACTGACTGTTGCTGACGTCATCTCGCGGCTAAAATAAACACAGCTGAGTATGAAACCGAGGTGCCGATTCGCAAAATCAGGTGACCCTTGCAGCAGTTTTACATTAGTTTATTAACAGTCAGGTTTTGAAGAAATGCAATCAATCGTTGTCTCATGCAGTTTAGTTACGTGCACTTTCCATCCGATAGTCAATCAATGCATCCCACATAGATCGTTTGAACAGAGTAACTGACTTCTACCGACTTAGAAGTTTTAGCTGCATTTTTAAGTTTATTTTGGATCTAATGCGCCAAACTCCTCTGAAATAGGCGACTAAAAAGCCACATGTGAGAACATCACGGATACTGGAACAGTTTTAATTATTGGCGTGGTTAAATTGACAGAGTGAAAATTCGACAATGAGCAAGAACCCAATTACCAGAAATGTGTACCTCCTAAAACAGGCATCTTCAGAAAGAGGAACAATACAGTGTCTTGCGTGATGGACGTCTCCAGTGAGAGGGGTAACCTATGAGCTGTCCTAGCTGATAATCAAATGGCGTTCGAATTGACTAATTTGGCTTTAAGGATATTTCGTCATTCAATACTACTTATAGGGCTGACTAAAGTTCTGGACAGCTCCAAACTGGTCTTGTCCGTATCAGTTACCCAATCTTCGTCAACTTTATTCCTGGTTGCACCCGACTTTAAGCTCATCCGAACAGTGAGTAAACAAATGGGCTTCCGTGCAACCCATTTGGTCCAAGAATATCATAAACGGGTGAGTGATCCAGTCCTTTTGAGTCGGCCGTGTGCCCAGTTTTGCTTTGAAATGAGTCTCAATATCTCTTCTTGTAGTAGCTAATGACAACCAGATCTAGCAGGGCGAAATGTGGTTGGAAATTTTGGAATCCTACATTTGGTTCCGGAAATGTCGACTGTACAGCCTGCATGGCCTAATATTCAGTTAATCAACATCAAATTTCGAGTACCTTTGGAGCTCAATATTTTTTGTTGAAGTTCGTAATACTCCAGTTCTCTTCGGTCTGTTTTAAGTTCGGTTCTGTCTGCATCAGTGAGATCAAGTAAACGATTGCGAAATAAAATAGATGAAATCTTGGCTTTGCATTACGGATTTTTTCTTCCTATTCTAACGAACGCACAAGTAACTCTAAAATGCTCTTTGAAGTTAAATTTCACAAAACCTCGTATCATCAGATTGTTCCAATACAAACTGTACGCAGTAAACTAGTTGTGGCAAGGCTGTATACGGATCATACTCTGTTTTCCTAGTGGCTGTATGGCCTTTTCTTTCTCAGGAGGCCCACGCAAAGTCCCGTAACCCATCAGAAACAGCTTTGAGAGGTTTTGAGGTAGGCTGGTCATCTAGACTCAGATCTATCGTACAAATGTTCTTCAGTTACGTCTTTTCACTTCGGGGTTGTCTAGCTTATCGATAATGACGTTTCACTAAACTATTGTTTCGTTGCTTCACTCAACAGCTCTGAAGCGAAGTTTGGATGAGCATAGAGTGAGGTGGTAAACTGATGAAAATTCATTAAAAACTCCCTAAAAATTTGACATGATATTTGGGCTTTCTTTTCCTCAGCCCAGACCTTATAAATGTTCGTAATACTGAACCTTACAGTGTTAACATCCTCCCTATTTGCAATCACAGGGATGATAAACCGTTGAGAACAATAACGGATTGGCGCAGCGAATCACGTGACATTAACTTGCATGCGCGTACATACTTGATCGATAGAAAATAGCAGATTGACCTGAAGATAGTCTCAGAACAAAAGAGGTGAACATTACTTAATTCAAAGAAGTGTGCGATGGTATGCATGTAATATGTATGAAGATCACTGGCGTATTAATGTACCGTACATTCCGAGGTTAAAAAGGCTAAATGAAAATGGCATTTTTGTGCACGTGGCCCTTTC